TCAAGCTTGTTAATCTCTTAAATTTGGCTAAAGACTGTCTCAGTAGGATCTCGCGATGGGGCGAACGAAATCGCTTGACTTTTACACCCCATAAAACTTACTAGCTATTGCTTAAAGGAAATCTAAAGTCGTGGCCGTCTATTAAATTTAACAACGTTTCCGTAAAACGAAAGGAATCGGTTTGCTATCTCGGTCTAGTTTTGCAATAAAACTTTTCTTTCATTGAACATATTAAGGCTATTGGTACAAACATATTAAGGTGAGAAAGCCAAAAATAACTTCTATGCGCTGACGCGAATTTCAAAAGCAACCTTGGGTCTCTTTTCTTACGCTCAGGATCATATACCTCTACTATACGGAGCAACCTACCTGGGATGCGTCTGCTACGGGGCACCTGTCTGGGCTGTCTGGCATAATAGGCGCGGTACGGCGAAAACTTCTTCAAGACCATCGTCTAGCCTTGATTTTCCTGTGTAAGGCTTATAGGACGGTTAGCACTGAAGCCCTACCTGTGCTCGCGGGCGTAATTCCGATAGATCTTGAGGTGCAGCGACGTGCTGCTATGTACTGCAGTGCGAGACCTCATTTGTCAGCAAGCTTTCTAGCACAACGTGATAGAAATAAAATTGTTAGATTGTTCAACACGTTGACGGACAGTACTGCCTGTATGCATCAAGCCAGTCCAAGCCAGTCCAGCCAAAAATACATATCATAAGTGACAGAACGCCTTATGACGTTCACGTCTATATCCGTTCTGTCATATCATGTGTTATTATAATAGTTGCGCTGTGACGCTACGCCTATGGGCAATGTATGAAAAATAGTACTGTCTCAGCAACCATAACATGTGAGAGAGTACTGTCCGTCAACGTGTTAAGCCAATAACGGACGTTTGGGATGAGCTTATAACTGAATGGCAGTGTAGATGGGCATCTTATATTAAGGGCCGCCACCTATATCAGTTCTTCCCATCCGTGCATGAGCGGCTGCAGAGGACATGGTTGCAGGTGAATCACTGTGTTGCCCAATTTCTTGCTGGCCACGGCAACTTTAAAAGCAAATTGTTCTCATTTAAACTTATTGATTCACCATGGTGCCAATGTTCGACAGCAGAGTTGCAATACGAGCAGTCGGCCCATCACATACTCTGGGAGTGTGATCTCTGGCAATATGAACGTAACACTATGTTAAATAATTTAATTGTTTCGTCAGGTGTAGTTTATTATACGGACCTTGTGGAATCTAAAACAAATTTCCGTGCGTTTAGGCGCTTTTGCCATACCTATATTGGAAGCAAGTATAACAGCTCACACATAGGACCCACTTAGTTTTTAGTCAAATTTCCGTGGTGCTTGGCGACTGGGCTTCACCCAGTTGTACAGCCTCTTCTTTGTGCCTTTAAGCTTAATTCATTCTGCCTCCCGCAGTAATTCACCGAGGGAAGTGGAAACTATAGTTTTTTTTCTTCTTCTCTTCTTATAAGATATTCTCAGAAGATATTCTTCTGATTCACTTCGTTGCGGGAACCAAGACAGTTACTCATGTCCCTGGGACGCGCGGGACTTCAGTGTTCCGGTGTCTTCATGGTTGTATATACTGTAGATCCTGGCTTACAGGAGTTGCAGCGGTTTGGGAGGTTGTGGCGGGCTTGTCCCATTAAAAAAATCTAATTAAAATTTAAAAAAAAATAATTTGAGAGGTTTAGTTATAATTTCAGGTACAGAAAATAAACAATCACACACAGGACAGATTTTATAGTTTTATTTATGAATACTCGGTGTTTATAAATTAAAGTTCTAACAAAGTATATTATGTATGAGTAATATTACTTCAAGAGAAGACGGCGTGTGTTCTGGCAGAACCTGTTAAGCACTTCTTCTAATTTGTTTTGATTCTGAGACCCTTGTTCTGTGCACACTTGGCATACACAGGCCGCTTAAACGATTTTCGCCCATGGTTAAGCGAAGCCACGTTTTGACGATCGTTCTATTGTACAGATCGTACATGGCTAGGCAAGCAAAACAGCGAGCGCGGTTTATACACTAGGATAAAATTGCATTTCCTAAATTTTGATCACATCTACCAGTTCCACCTCCTTCAATGCATTAATGTCCGTATTTTTTTCTTCCCACAAATTATACCACATCTCAGCCTCGCTCAGGAAAGTATCACTTAATTTACCAAAATTAAAATTAAGATCAACTAGAAAATTAAAATTAAACAAAACAAGCAACAATAGGAATCGCGCCACAAGCCATAGAAGATTTTAGTCTGCACTTCGCAGGGCGCGGGCGGGGATGAGTGACCGCGCAGTGATGGTCGGCTCACTACGCCAAATAGTACTTACCTGTTCTTTTAGGGAATACGGCTCGCCTTCAAATAACGCGCGCACCGCGCACGTTCGGGAACTCGAGCGTGCATTTTGTTTTGATCGCGCTCTTTTCAAAGTCGACAATTATTTTTGTGCAATTACTTACGGATAGTATGATTGTTGGTGTTGTTAGTTAGAGTTAGTAAAAAAACATTGTTTAATCAGACACCTTATGGGTCAGAGCCAGGGCCCAGGGTGGGGCAAGTGCCCCAGCTTGCCCCAGTGTGGCTACGCCCATGTCACTGTGGTTTTAATGCCCAAATACTCAAACGCCGTTCAAATTGAAGTCGCGCATAAGTATAATTCTGTCACTACAAATTCTTTGTATAATGACACTATGAGAGAGAGGGTACGATATTTAAGCACGACTTAAATTTGAGAAACCTTTCAGTATTCGGGTGCAATCAACGATATTATGTCACCCTTAGTAGGTTTTGGAGGGTAGATGGTAGTCGTTCTATGTACAATACTAACATTCACTCGAATTTAGTTAAAATAAGAGTCCGTGCCGACCTCAAAATCAAAACTAACAAGGAACAGATGAACAGAGAAAAAAATAGGTAAGTAGGTAGATACATACATAAAATTATTCTCTGGAAGAATTTGAACTCCCTCGAGGTTTCTCTTTTTTGATATATTCTCATTGATAGGGTATAATGTAAGAAACCCTGTATCTTCCCATGAATCCAAAGCTGTCAGATGGATTGCTTTCGACGAAACGTCCATCCACAAGGTGGCCAAACAACTTGATTACAGGTCACAAACAGTCTGAATGCAGGTTGCTTCGAACCGACCGATTTGGAAGTTGTTGCGCGGGCCCTTATATTCACCTCTTACCATTTGAGGCAATCTACGCCCTAGATTGTTCAATAGTTAGCTATCATATTACCTACATTTGTTATGTCAAATTTACATCAGTCAATAAATAATAATCCATTTTTAATCAGATAATAAATTCACACACCCAATTCTCTAGTGCGTCAATTATGATGAGTAAAGTATTAGGCGTACCTAAATATTTTCGGAAAATATAATGTCGACTTCAAACATCATTTAAGGTCTTATAAATAGATACCAATGCGAAAATATTTTTTCCTGTTTTTTTAAGGGGCGAAAATCATCGAATTACTGCTCCCGCCTGGGTGAGGCGGGAGGGAGTGTGTGACTCTTACTGATTAAAAACCACCCCGTTCCTTCTCCTACACGTCGAGCTGGAGTCCCGGTAACTCGTTAGGTTCTCCGCGACTCCGAATCGGCATCGGCCCTATTGGGCCCCATCTGTGATGGTCTGATGGCTCTTTGAGGCGCGAGCGGAAAGCGACGCGCCGTACGCTCGGGTCTGTTTCTGGTCGGATCGATCGGGTCTGTTTCCCATGCTCGCCGTCCGCAGGCCCGCGCTTACGGTGGCCGGAGATCGTTTTTTCCCTGATTATGGTTTGGTTAATCTCGTTGGCAGATGATTATGTTAAATGCTGCTCATGATTGTGGGCCCTAGTCAAAGTCATGGCTTGAAACTAATCAAGTTACTTCGTACGTAGGTACAGAACAGTACGTGCTTAACCCGCACAAATTTATTCATTTAACTCGTCGAGTACCGGTTTCGTAGACACAATTATAGAACAATAGGTTGCGGTCACCGGTGACCGCTTGGTGTTTGACAGTTTAATTGATACTGATAGATTTAAAATAGAACACTGTGGTTTAAATTCAGTACCTATTTAAATCATCAATCAAACAAGAACGTTTTCGGTGCCCTTTCAAATTCTGAATTCAGTGTCTATTCTCAGTAGAAGCACGCGGTGTCGTTATGCAATGCGAAGACACACGGACGCCTCATTCGTGTCGATAAATAACACAACTGACTTGGGAACAACGTGACTGATAGTATGTATTATGTTTACATATTTACATAGATACTACATATGTATGCACATAATTGCATAACGTCACGCCTTTGATTATCGAAGGGATAGTCAAAGGTAAAGGAGGAGGAAGAAGCACCCCATAATACATATGATTCATAACTGGTATGTGGGTGGCTATATGAATGGGTATTACGTAATATATCTTTCCCTAAATGCCTTGCCTTCTCCAATGGGAATTAAAAGGCGCGAAATTAAAGTTTTGTGGTGTGTGGTGTTAACGTTATTCATAGCTGTTTGAATACTGCCGGGTTGTTATTATGCTTTATGCCACTATCTATAATGCCATATAGTTTTACCTTCTAATCACACTGCAGTAAAATGATATCACATCACATTACCACGTTATCACTTGAATCTATAACGTACTTAGGTAAAAATTATGATTGCGATTTCGTTAGACGTGAAATGCTATTTCTTGTTTATGACCTTCACACCGAACGACAAATACCTACACCTACATTAGTTTTGTTTTACACATAGAAGAATAATTTAAATAAACACATACCATTTCATTTATCAAAATAGTATTCGATAACGGGCTGTATGTAATTAGAAGAAAAATTGAATTTGGCGGGTAACGTTTCAGAATTTTTCGTGCGTGTATCGTTCAGAAACTACTACTTTTTCCATTACCTGTGTTCAGAAACGTAATCAAATCACTTCACATGACTTTCAAGTGAAAACTGTCAAATGTCAAAGTTTTTGGTAATGTCATACAAAAGTCAAAACATGTTAAAATAAATTAAATAACCTCAAAAATAGTTTCCCATATCTAAAAGTGTTTGTTTACAATTATAAACAAGAGATAATGGTTAAATTGAACTAGAAATAGTTACAGGTAACCATAATGTCGCTAAGCTTAAAACCTTTAAGGTTATATCGACCTATTTATTATTTTGGTCGGCAATACTCTGATGAGGACAAGACCAGATATCAGATTTTAGAAGCGGGACAAAAACCAAAATTGGTTCATGGTAAACCCTATGCAGAATGGAGGAAGCCATGGATACAACGAGACGGAGAGTTCAGAAGCAAACTTTCAGTGTTTGTGGAAAGAAACCCAAGTCCAGATATTCTTCATTTTATGTCACAATTACCAAATTTAACTACGAAAACAATTAAAAACTGGTGGTTGGATATGAAAGAACTTCAAGATATTGAGAATCAAAGATACTTGCCTAAAAGAGTTGCCACCCTCGGATCAAATTTGGCTGCAGCACATTTCTTTACATTTCGGAACTGTGCAGTCAGGTATTGTTACACAAAAGAATACAAATATATTCCTAAGCTAAAAATATCATTTATTATGAAATTTATTAAATAACTAATGCAATTATTGTGTTTTAGGTTGAAAGATTCAGAAGAGTGGATATCTGGTGATGCAACTACGCTGAATCTTCCCGATCGCTATGTTAATGGATACTTTATAGAAGCTGTAGACTGTACTAACTTCTTCCATGGAGGAATCCGATATGAAGGTCTACAAAACCTGTCCAATCTTAGTTTTTTGAGGTGGTTGAGCTTAAGGGATAACAAATTTGTGGATGTCTGGGGCCTAGACCGAGTGGCCGGTCAAAATGGAGATAGCTTGGAATTTTTAGATATAAGTGGTTGCAACATTTGTGTAGGATGTATCTTTGCTCTAGCTAAGATGAGAGCTTTGAAGTATGTAATCCTGACAGATCCTGGCGACAACCTCAACTTGCAAGCAGCCATCTCAATATTAGAACATGAGAGGCCTGACTTGTTGGTAAAAGCTATATAGTTAGAGCAATTTGTTACTATAGCAAATTATGTTTAATGTAATTGTTAGTGAATAAATTATTTGTTACCAAAACTTGTCATATTGAATTATTTGAACCTGTTGAAAATTGTTGAAAATCATCCCCTAAAGTTTATACAAAAGTAGTCTTTAAATATTGGAAATAAGGTCTATAATGTACTTAGTGGAGAGCAGTCACTGGTGACAGCTTGGGGATATACAGGTTAAACTGTTTACCTGTTTTATCTGTCCTGTCTGGACAGGACTGCACGGTTTGGGTAACCGATTGCCGCATAATGTGTAGTAGGTTCGATTCCCGCGCGTAGCAGAAATTGTATGTTTGTCCATGACACAAGAATATCCTACGATTAGGTCTTGATGTGGGTGCAATATATATCAAAAATAAAATTATTTTAAAATGAAAAATGTCTTGCATTTGTAACGAACGGGAACGATAAAATGGGCGGGGCCTGTTTACACATGGGTACACTCGCGTACGAAAGTGCTAGCCTTGTTGAGTGTTTTATTTTATACACAATTTTTACTATTTAGTTATACTTATGTTATATCTGTACCTACTAAATCCACTATCTGTAAGTCAACTTATAACTTATCCATTTTTTTTAATGTAACGCTCATAATTTTATCTATTCGATTTTACACAAGAACGTAATAAGGAAAGTGTCTCAGTAATCTTAAGCGCCGACCAAAAAATATAGTAGGATTAACTGTGTAAACTTTATCTAAAATAGCCTTTAATCTACCATCAGTCAATAGTAAACCATTTGTCGCCGAGCGAGCACCTGTTAATCAGATAAACGTTAGGCCGGTGTGATAGGGGGTCGTTAATGACAAATCATTGAAACGCCCGCCGGTGCCCACACTCTACATGCCGACAGAGCGTATTCAACTGCATAGAATCCAGTATTATTTATAGTGGCCTAGGGGATCAGCTGATGGAGCCGCGTGGCGCGCGACTCGCGAGTAGAAGCGCGGCCGCGCGCGCGCAGACACCGCCACTCCGCACATCCTGCGCACACGCCGCGCCGACACTATCTGCCTTATCGTACAAATAATACATACACGTGAACCACCAGCTAACCGGCTCCCGTCGCTTGTTTACGCCGTTTACCCACCACCACAATTACCAGACACGTCAAAGTGAACTGACTGCAAATAATATCATTATCTCTCAACTTACTGTGACTTGTCTACTCACTTCATCTTACCAATGTTTTATTGTGATTCTAGTTAAAATTATACGGACATAATCGTCTATTTGTTACGCAACAATCATACGCGTGTGAACCAAGATACAGTGTAGTGTTCCATCAAGGAAATAATTCATAGGATATAAACAAATTATGGCTCCTTTCTAGGAACTCAAGTTGTCGTAATTTGAACTCTGTGCAGTGGTAATAAGGTGAAAATGAGGAGCGACGTGTTAGCACCGAGCGAGTTGGAGGGGACGGACTATCTTCTCTCTTCCACTATGAGGCTGGAGGACAGCTTTCTGCAAATACTTGGTGAGTACTAGCACAAAAAAAAATAACTAAACATCAAGAAGTTTTTTTGTAAACCACATACACATTGTAAACGTATACACGTTATATCTAACAAAGTTACAAAACAGTGTCTTAGCTTGAAAACAAACACTACGTTTTTTTAGCAAAATCAAAAAGAGATAGATATAGAATCGTCATGGCAACAAGACATTTCAAGGACACGTAAGCTATGTACTTAAATGTAGATTAGGTAATAAATGATTACACGGACAGCAGCAGCCAAGAGCGTCGATCATAATCACACCTAATTTAATCATTATCATTCAGTGCATATAAACTAGGTAGGTACCTACTTCAACGTGATTAATTTTGCAAACCAAATAAATTTTGCATAAGTATTAGGTACATACTTATTCTATATGCAATCATCAGTACCTACCACCAAATCTTACATAATGCCATCTTGAAAAAACTGACTGAAAATTAAATAAAAATAAGATAAAAATGTTAGATGTGTAGATTATATTCTCACTAACAGGTTTGGTTGTTAAAAAATAAAAAGTCACTGTTGTAATTATGAATTTTTATTTTATTATCATGATGAAGAAAAACATTGCCTACTTATATTTTGTGAAATGCCTAAAATATAAAATGTCAGATAGCTAGGTCCTGTAATCGTTTTTATAGACAGCATATATATATATATTGAATTGTCTGTAATCGATTCCATATAAGTGCCAAATAATACTGAATTAACTTATTGTAATCTTTAATGTTATCTAAACTAAGTCGTTATTTATTAGGCTGGCACTTCTACATAGTACTTTTAGTTCTTAATCATTTTATGACACCGCGGGCGATATAAACCTTAAAATGGCACCTCATGCCTAAAGACTAGAGTAGAGAATTTGGGATTCTTTACCTTACCTTACTGAAACCATTTAGGTGGTCACCATCTAGCTAGATCTAAATATGCTCTACTTAATGGTCACCTTCTCACCATCAGCACCTAAATATAAGGGTAGGTCGTGTAAATAGTCTAGGTAGAGCAGTGCCTGATTGATATTAATTTTTTTATCCTAGTAGTATAACGACGTATGATTTGGTCATTTTCATGTTTAAATAGATGGGTGTCGTTTAATATTCTTATCTATATTAAAAACTGAAAAGATATTGAGCGTTTGTTATGATATGACTTTGACTTTTATTGTTAACATCAAAGACATTAACCGCGCCTAAAGTACCTATGTAGGTACTAACTGGATACATCATCATGATTTATGAATGTATGGCAAAGGAATATTACACATAATGTGCATTATATCTTTTTTCGGCCATAATTCAACTGTAACCACGTTGATAGCGTCTTAGCTACTGGATGAAATACTTACCTACTATTACGCAGTACATAATAAGTTGCACTGTACACAATATTCACTGTTTTGTCATAGGGTGTAGGCAGTTACGTACTGTGCACTGTTGTGTCGTGGTGCTGGTAAAGTAAAATATTCACCAACTCTCCTCCTTCCACGGGTATCGTAAAACCGGGGATATTTGACAGATATAGATTAGCAGTGCTTTCCGGCAAACCTATGGCTCGTCTGCTAAGCGTGGAAATTAAAGCAAGCCCCTATTGTGTAGAGGAGGTAAATTTATTGTATAGCAGTGGACTATATGTGCTATCAACAATATGTGCAAAACCATTTGTCATTTTGCTTTATGTAGTCAAGAACGTTTCCTTGAGTGGGGACATTAACAAGAGAAGGGCGCACAAGTTCAATCCCTTGAACTTGTGGCGCCCTCTCCGCCCGCAGTGTAATTATGCACATGCACAACAATTGCAATTTGCAACACACGTTATTTCTGTTAAAGTACGTCTTTTATTACAAGCTTTAAATATAATCATTGTTTTAATGATCATTATACATGTTTATAACTACCTATCTTTATGATAAATTTCATTGTTGTCATGTTCTTAAAAAAAAGTAAGATTTTTTTTTATATTTTATTTATGTTGAACAAAATAATCCTCATTTGGTTCTTGTAAGTTTACCTACTCTCATATTTGAAAAATGCTACAGCTATTAATATTCAAATTCGTATGTGGTTATGTTTATGGGTCCATTGACCCTACGGTGCCGTACCTACCTATTCTGTTTAAGGTTTAAAATAATTCCGTCAATGATTTATCCAATGAAAATAGGTGTGGTGCAATCCTAGTTTATTTTGAGTGGATCACTGCAACTCTCTTTGCTTTAGTTATGTTGTCGACTTATAAATTAAGCACTAAGACACCATTAGGGACTAAAATCCCAAAGTATGATTGTGAAAAAAAAATAAATGAAAGCTTCGTCACCGATAAAATAGCTTGCAAGTATATTTATTGATTGTTGGTCTGTTTTCGCAGCCGAGACAAATAAACATCCAGTTCACAACAAAAATACTCTCAAGCGCCAGTAATCACCAACAAACTCGATATTATTGAGCTTTCTTACGATAAGTTGCGCAATTTCGGATTTATTATTTTTGTTTGGTCTCACCTTGTATGCTGCAATTTGTAAAATCACAGATTTTAACGAAATAGTTAAATACTTAATTGCTTGAACAAATATATATAATTAATGTAATAATTATAATTTAAATAATTATTATTGAAGATTATTGTTCACAAGGCATCTCTCCATAAAGCCACACCATATTCATTTATTTGATTTTGGTACTTTTTCGTTTATAAAATGTGTTGATTTTTTTTTAAATAATTGTGAAGACGATGAAACTAGTGTTTTCCGTGATATGACACGCGCCTACACCAAGGTTAATAGACGCTAGTTGAAGCTAATATAAACAGTCCAAGATTTATTTACTTCGGGACTTTGTGTCTATAGAAACAATGAGAAGTAAGAAACTAAACAACATTTTCCAAGATGTTATTTAGCATGCAATGTACTTAAATATACCTAGCTATTTCAGAAGTTGGATTTTTACTGAATAAAGCTTTTATTCGTGGTATTTATGGTTAGTGTGATTAGAGAGAATAATAATTGCTTGTATCTATAAACTATGTTTAAAAAATCCGACTTAAAACCTACTTAATACTCTTTTTTTGAAGGCGGTTAAATTAATATACCTACTAAAATCTTTTCCTAAGTGTACCTCTAAGATACACTTTTCTGAAAACCACATCTAAGATCAGCCAATTGCGAGATAATCCATTACAAACATACATACATTCAGGTCTTACTGAGAACCTTCTTTTTTCGGTCGGTTAAAAAAGTAAGTAAAAGAAAGTAAAATTAAGTCTCTGAACTTCCAAAGGGAATGAATATTGGCTGAATATCATTTAACAAATTTTCTTGATGTTGTTGAAACTAATTTTAGACTCATCATTCGGAAAATAATATTTTCAACCCTCGTATTCTACATTTAAATATTCGGAACCAATCCCGAACAATAGATGCCTATTGGTAAATCTGGCACCGTATTGCCATCTTATGAAAAGACTTTCTCTATCATCTTTTTAAGTGTGAGAGAGCCACGCTTCGCCACGAATGTGGCGGCCCGCCGACTCGACCGG